CACCAAATATTAGGTATTACCAAGGAACCTTTTGGAATGAAATACCCGTCATGGATGTCATCCTCAGTGACACGATGGGGGATACCTGTCATTGAGATACCATTCGGCAACGAAAGAATGTGATAAACAAGATACACGAACCGGTAGGGGCGACAACATTCCATCGTAGTACTTCTTTAGCAAGCGCCTCAGTATAGGGGAGAGAGCCTCTGTCGGCGAAGGAGGGAAGACGATCAGGACCGATGACAGCATCTATTTCGGCCTGAGCCTTCTTCTGTACATCATGGAATAGTGTCATGGCCAGGAAGAATGAGTATATTGCAGAAACAGTCTGGGGAAAGCAGGGTAGTACTCTTGGAAATAATGATTAGCACTGGATAGGGAGGGACTAACCGTGTCGGCACCGCCGGCGTATAGAGATGCAGCAGACCACTTCACAACATTCTCGTCTTCTACGGACAAAGTACGGTTTTCCAACAGATTCGAAGTAAAAGACTCCGGAGCAATTCCAGCTGCCTGTAAGAATTGAAATTCTACACATGATCGCAAAACTATGGCAGATGTTGATCACCATCTGATCCTTGACGAAATTGTACGGTGTAAAAACCATCTCTTCGACGATCTTGCGCCAATCATGGACTAGGCGCTTAAAGCCAGCACCAGGGAACCATTCGGGGGCTTTGATCACTACAAATGGTGAGGGAAATAGAAGCAAACATCGGGATACTATAGCTTACAAAATGGCATAGAATCAGCCACAAAGGCACCAGGAGCAGTGGAACGCGAGAATAGATCTAAACCGCGATCCGCAAGGTCAACGAAAGGATCGTCGTTCTTCGTCACTTCATAACCATAAGAGATGCGCAGAATGATGGCACCAGCGGTGCTATAGAAATCAAGATCGCGTTGATGCAAAGACAAATAATACATACTGTCGAACATGTGCCTGTAGTTGACCAGGTTTTGTGAGCACACGCTTAAGGAATCGGCGAGTCTCGACCTCTCCGATCTGGCTGTATATGCCTACTGCGGCTCGGCTGCCAATCACGCGGTGGATGTTCCTGCGGTACCGGCGAAGGCAGTCACCGTCAGGGAGAAGAGCCATGATATGCTTCCAGCCAACAAGTTGACCACCAACAGGAAAAATAGGACGGTCAGAGTACAGTGTGCTCTTCTTGTCCAGCATGTCTATCGCAGCCTTGACGGAATTCAGCACCACGGTGTGTTGACCCATAACTTGGATGTGCGAGATATTACCTGCAGACAAGACCTTGAAATGCATGATATCGGTGAAACGGTAGGTACTCACCATACTTCTTGCCCCATGTAGCGAAGGTGAGCCAGGGCTTGACTCGGATGTGAGGCATGTCTAAGATGTTCCCGATGAGAGGCCACCCCGGGGGACCAGGCGGATATGGTGCAGGATTCTTCTTGTTGAAGACCCACATTAGAAAATATACTCCGACACAAGCAAGGCATAGTAGTATGTTGAGCCAAGTGACGTTGGTGAGTGTCAACATGGTCTACTGGGAGAGGGCGAGCAAATACAGAGCAGGGTCGTGTAGTGCGAGTGAAGGATCATATGAGGTGAGTCCTTTCGGCTTATATACATCTGAACTCTGCATAGGCTTCATGATAGAAGAGCCTGACGATCTCTAGTGGCGGATTCGCGGAAGCAACGGGACTCCATGTCAGCAGACTCAGCCTCCTAGGTCCGGGAACTTGAACAAACAAAGGGCACTAGGAAAATGCTGCGCCACTGCTGCGACTGCTGCGCGGCATCTGCCGCGACGTTCCAAATTTACGCTATACAGTACTTGTACACTACTACTAAGTAGAACAGCAAATTTTGAACACACAAGCAAAATACACTTGCTTGTTGCAGGCCACATACTATGGACTCTGCATCGCTGCCTTGAAGGGTTTCACATGATTTATATAAACTCACTTGGTTTAACTTGTCGTTGTCTTGAACTGTGTTATTACTGGAGACTAATCTACAACTTCCGAGTTGGACGATCAACGTGTATACGAGCCCGCGAGGACACCACGTTGATCTAGGGCTTTGTAAGCCGCACGTGAAATCTGTTTGACACTTCCCGCACTCTCATAGCAGCAGGCCCGTGCGCTAAGATATAGATAAGTGCGCGCTTCTGTCTAAACATCTCTTGAATCTTTTCGCCTCGTACCACCACCTTCTGGCACTCGGCTCTGATTTTTAGTCACTTTTTCGCTCTGTTACCACTACCCTCAGTCTTACAACATCTTCACCACGATGGTTAACTCTAATCCCCCTATCGGTAGAACTTCTCTTTCCCGCGATCAAATCATCGCCGAGAACACAAGCATTAGCCCCACTCAATTCCATTTTATTTTTCCCATTTTATTTTTTGCAAGTGATATATGAGTGACAGATGGTGAGAAATAAAATGAGTTCTGATTGAGGTCGACCATTTTATTTTATTTCTGAAGTACAGCGGTGCGTGCTGAGATTAGAATATGCCGAGGCGGCACATTGAACGACGCAGCCTGAAGGCTTGAAGTCCAACGCAGCCACGCCGTCAGTCATGGATGACAGATTCCAGTGGACATTCCCCACCGAAAACACATACCCAGGAGTGCCGGATGTGTTCGAGCAAGTGCCCATGCTTCATGAACATGTGCTGCCAGTGCAAGGCCAAGAAGTTCGTCGTCGTCGTCTTCTGCTGCAGCCAGTTGTGCAATGGCCAGGAACTCAAGTTGTTTAGCTGTAGACTGATGGTGCTTTAGGGGCTTGCGTCCAAGACATTGTAGATGTGCCATGATGTATGATGCATTGATGATTGTAGGTACTGGAGACAAGTAGCATCCCCACGCTCGCATTGTTGAAACTCCGCAATGACGAGCGCCGAACAACATACCTGCAGTCCAATATATCATTTTATTTTTTGTTCCCCACTGCAATCTACACTCACTCGCTAAAAAATAAAATGAGAAAAATAAAATGGAATTGAGTGGGGCTATTACCACGCGTAACCAAGCGCGTCAAACGCGTCGCAACCAAGGCGACACCAATGTGGAAAACGACGAATCTCTTCTTGTCGTTCCTCCTTCCTTTGCTAATGTTCTCCCTAATCGTCAGTCAACCAGTAACTCTGCAATTAGTGATGTGCGGGCCCAGCTCGGCCTGAAAGCCCTGGCTTGGGCTCGGCTTTTGGGGGCTTGGGCTTTGCAAAACCTCAGGCTGAGCCGTGGGCCAAAGCCAGGCCAAAGCCGTGGCTTGGCTTGGGCTCAACGACGGCTTTCAAAAACAAAATGACTCGAAATTCAATATAAGTAGCGCTCGAGTCCTACAGTACTTTGTCGTCGTCTGCTGAATCAACATCAGACTCTTCCTCCTCCAAAATCAGTGTATCCCACCCCTCATCATCTGCTGGCTCGACTTCTAACCCGCCAGTCCCATGTTCGGAATCTTCACTTTCTTCTGTAAGGGATGAGGGACCAGGCTCCCGGAATATAAGTTCGTTATGAAGAGAACACTTTACGCATTGTAGAGCCTCGACGATGTCTCCTTTCAGCCGATTACGCCGCTTGGTGATCGTTCTTGGCTGCGATGTCACCCAGCAATTTAGATGTGAAGGCGTTGGCCTTGGCCCATGTACGGTATTTTCCCTATGGACATTTAGATCTAGTACATCAACAAATAAATAAATGAGAACATACAGCGAATTTGGCTTCTGCATGACGGCGGAGGGTTGACGTCTCGTTTACAATGGTACATTGAGCCCTAAAATATGTAGTGTTAGTGATGTAAAGACATATGCAAATGATGTGACAACGTACAGACAAACTTTGCACTTTCGATGTTTTTTGACCTTGCCGTTAGTGTGAGTGCACTCCAACGGTTGACTGAAGAATTGGTCAATGTCGCGAGTTTTATCCTCGCGTGTGGGAGATTCATCGATGATGGGCTGGACATCAATATCTGCAAGAATACCGTCTTCGTCAACATCTTCTTGAGCTTTAGCAGCTTTCTTGCGACGGACTTGTTTGCCTGACGACGCTAGGTCAGGAAGGTACATTATCTTGCAGATAGACTTACACTTTGGATTCGTCCGTGCATCTTCGCGTTCATCATCACCGGATATCTCATCTTCATTGTTTTCTTCGACACGTGCCCTTTTGCTGGTGGTTTCAGGTGCGGTGGTGTCGACATTCGGTGCAGGAGCAGACGGGATGGGTGCTTGTGGTGGTTCGGTGGCCGGAGGATGGGTGTCATCGGTGGTGCGCTTCAATGCCTCTGCAGCACGAAAGGCGTTGATGGCTCTTGTTTGAGAAGGGAGAGCTGCCTTCTCGGAGTGCTCCAGGAGTGCAGCGGTCGGTTTGACTTTGCGCACTGGACGCACTACACGTGGCTCATCGTCACTGTCTGTATGGACCATTCCGACCATTAGATTTTTTCAAGTTAGAGCAAGGGTAGCGACGTACCAGTACCATAGCCATGAATACCTTTTATCCCACTACAAAGGATCAAGATCGTGATGAAAAAGTATACTTCGAACACAAAGCAACATGAGATAGAGTAACATCGACGGTGCGAAGCACAAAGATGGGCAACTCACCTGGGTTTCTGACATATGAAGTGTTTGTTGGATTTGCGGAAGAGACTAGAGTAGTAATGGTTAGACAGATTTAGATATAGTAAATAAACTCGTACCTGATGTCCGGATGTCCACGGAAGTCTGTAACAGACGATTCGACTCCCTAAAGTAAGGACACATGGATGTCGATGATGGATGTGCAGGGACTAAAGCTGCGGCCTGAGCTGCCAGCTCAGGCTTCTCAACATGTCAAGCCGGGCCCTGGGCCGTGGTCAGGCCCTGACTTGGGCCTGGCTCAGCTTGGCCTAATCAGGCTCGGCTTGGGCTGGCCCACGGCCTGAAGCCGGGCCGTGCACATCACTATCTGCAATTGCCTCCTCCTCCTCTTCCAATCCCCCACCCATTACTACAACTAACATCATGTCCACATCCTTACAAGTACCAACCGTCTCCTCTACATCATCTTCCTCGAGACCCGTTACTCCTACACCTACCACCACCACTATTAATATGTCTAGTATGCTTGCCGCTTTCCAAAAATTATCCCCGTCCAAACAATCAGCATTTCAATCTTCCATGAACACAGTCTTAGGCTCCTCTTCCACTACCGCTACTACCGTCCCCACATCCAATACGAACACATCACCTTCCCTCATCTTTGACATCACCAGAGAGCATCCTACCCCATCTTCGCATTCCATTAGGGATGTTTATGGTATTCACACGTACATCTTAGAATTAGCCAGGAACAACCAACATATTCCCTTCTCCTTGCTAACTTCGAAAATTACCAGACGACTCTTCTTAGAATCATCCACGCTCAAATTCATCACATTCTACTCTTCCCATCGAGGCTCTGCCCCCACAAAGTGTCATCTCCTTGACATTTCGCAATTCCCCGCAGAATCTGAGATCTCTATACCAGAATGGCATGAAGCCTGGTCACGTTACCTTCGCTTCCTCCAGGAACATGCCTCCCCCGAGGTTCACACGCGCTGGGCCAACCACTACGACATTCTACGTGAACACCCTGACTTCACAGATAACTGGATAGCCATCTTAACATTTGACATCGAACAACATGCATCATATGCGGCAGACCCCCAAACCCTCGACGAAGCTAAGTACTATCGTCAATTCGAAGATATTAAAGGTCGTGTCGCCAGGAAGGAATCCTTAAAAGCTGTCAGTGAAGCAGTAATCAATCTCAAGAGTCACTGTCATGAACCTCATCCTTCTCGCGACTCCTCCTTTTGGAAGAGTCAAACTTCCGACAAGTCCTTTTGGCCCCCAAACAAACCCAGCGATTCCGAATGCCTCCCTCCCCTCTGTCTTGCATGTGCACAACTTGGTCACACCTTCCCCAACTGCCCCGACTCGTCGTCATCGAATTCGTCGACACACTCAAAGGTTGTCAACAAGCAATTGGTCCAACGAGCCAACGCAGACGTCAGATACTGCGTCGACTTCAACATTTTCTGCAATGGTAAACGAGTCTGCACCAAACGCACCCACAAAGGAGGTGAAATCCATGCCTGTTCACTCTGCGGATCCACCGAGCACGGTGCCTGCAGTCGTAAATGCTTGGGGGCTTGATCCGCTCCTGATTCCCTTTTCTTGGTGGGAAATGGACCCCATTCCCAATACTGCAGCTCCCCATCACGTATACTTAGACAATCTCAGCATCATCCAAATGCCTTATGACACAGACACAGACTTCTCCAAAATCATCACACCTTACTCAGCTGACAATCTTGATACATTCTTGCGCAACACTAACCTTCTTGAGGATTACCCAGAACTCGTGTTCAAAATCAAACACGGCTTTCCCCTTGGTCGACTCAACCCCATCCTTTTGACTTATGCACCTCCCAACCTTCCCAGCGCCGATGAACACGAGCACACCATCAAAGAATACATCGAATCCGAACTCACACTAGGTCGCTTCAGTGGACCTTTCTCACAACAAGAGCTAGAAGCCAAAATCAGTCCCTTTCGTTCCTTGCTGCTTCAGGTCACCACCAAAGATGGAGCACCAGGCGATCCTCCCAAATTACACGTCTGCTGCAATCTTTCTTACAAAGGTGCCCTGGGTCATTCAATTAATGATGAGATTGACGCAAAAGAGTTTCCCACTCGCTGGGGTACAGCAGAACAAGTGGCTACCTTTGTACGTCCTCCTTTCCCCCCCTTCTCCTCCCTGTGCACTCCCCACTCCACTACCATCCTTTGCATGACCTCGCGACACACATCGCTGAGGAGTGTATCGTTTGGGCAGTCTGGACGCACATCATTCCTCTTTAGATCCATCCCGATCTATCCATGAAGTGCTACCAATCATGGGTCATTCAGACCCGCTTCCTCCCTTCCTGATCCTCCATTGATCCTCCCATTCCAAGCACCTCCGCCTATCATTGTCACAGGTCGCCTCCGCCCCTCCGGACACTCAAGCAGCCTCTCTAGACATCGAAAGTGCTTATCGCATGATTCCAATCCTCCCAGATCACAAACACTACTTAGTGGTGCATTTTCACGATCTCTTCTACATAGATCATAACCTCCCTTTCAGCGCATCTTCTGCAGCTGGCATCCAAGGGGAAGTGGCCAATGCTACCATGGATATTTGGAACCACGCAAAGATCGGTCCCACATGGAAATGGGTCGATGATTTCCTCGTCATTCGAGTCCCAGACCCAGACGGACCTTTCATTGGTATCTCCAATGGCATTCTATTCCGGTACCGCTACGACATCCAATCAGCAAAGGACTACATCGGTCCCATTAACATACCCTGGCACAAAAGCAAAGGATCCGACTTTGCCGATGTACAGGACTATGTGTGTTATACCTTTAACTTTCCTGCTCGTACTGTCGCTCTTCCAGAGGCAAAGCGTCTCAAATATGTCCATTGCATCCGCTTCTTCCTGGATGCTTACTCCACCTGCCAAGTTCCCAAGAAGGCCGCTGAAAAGATCAGCGGTACCCTCACTCACTGCGCCTTCGTGTTCTTACACGGCCGCTCATATCTATCCGCCCTATATCAATGGATCGCAGACTTCCCGGCAGACTTCATTCCTCGCTACATGTGGAAATCAGTCAAATCTGATCTCAGATGGTGGCTCAACCTCCTTGAACACAACCACATGCCTCGTTCTCTTTCTCCAAGACCTCCCACACGAGACTACAACATCTGGGTCGATGCCTTGACTGGCACAGGCATTGGCCTGTACTGGAACGGACTCTGGGAGGCATGGGTCGTTCGTGACGGCTGGTGCGAGCCAATCGGCCATGACATCGGCTGGCTGGAAACTATCGCGATCGAGTTCACTGTTACCATCACTTCTTCCTTTGGCATTTCCAATGCTGATATACTCATTCGCAGCGATAACGAAGGTGCCATCGGTGCCTTCCATAAAGGCCGTTGTTCGAACCTCACCTCTAACACGTGCATCAGACGCACTGAAGCTGTACTTCGCGTGGCGAACCTCTCAATATCACTTATATACGTCCACACCAGCATCAATCTCGCAGACCCCATCTCCCGAGGTATCCTACCCGAACTTTCCTCACGTCTACCTTTCCGCATTCCCATCCCTGAAGAGCTCGCACCCTTCATTGACTATGGAACCCACTCCCAATGCTGAGCTGGAGCTCATCTTCGACATTCCAGATGACCCTCACCGTTTAGACTCCATTGAAATCCGTGAAGCTGCTATTTTACGTCCCGATGGACGAGTACGAATCCCATGTAAACCTCGCAAAGACGCTTCCATTACTCCCTCCGCACACCGTCCTCACGTACTCACCAGTGAGCGGGTCTTTCTCTGGACCACTCCACATGGCTTCGATCACCAACACAAGTTAGAACAACTCTTTCCTGAATCTGACATCCTCAGAATGTTTTTTGTCCTTACCCAATCCCTAGACAAAAACACCCGCAGCAACTATGGTGCGGGGCTTCTTCGCTTCACCCAATACTGTGACAAACTCCACATTCCCAAGACTCAACGCATGCCAGCTTCCGCTACCTTACTCTCCGCATTCATCGCAGCATCTGCCGGCTCCATTTCTGATAGTACCGCGAGCAATTGGCTCGCAGGTTTACATTTTTGGCACATTGTCAATGGCGCCCAATGGCACGGCACTGACTCTCCACTCTTGCACCATATGAAACATGGTCTCACACATCTGGTACCCCCCAATTCAAAACGAGCACAACGTCCTCCTGTTACACTAGATGCACTCGTCCAACTAGGACAAGGACTTAATTTGTCAAATTCCTTCAATGTTGCAGTCTTTGCTATTACATGTGTAGCCTTCTGGTCCTGCTGTCGGTAAGACTTCCCATTCCTCTCCAATAACAATCATATCCTAACGTTACACTAAGTCTCGATGAACTCTTGATCCCCAGTCCAAACACCTTCGATGCAACCAAACATGTCTCTCGCTCCATTCTTCCGATTATAACGCATGATTCACACAACGTATGTCGACTATCCTTTCACATTCCTTGGACAAAAACCACGGGCACCAATGGTGCAGACATCAGTGTCACTGTTACAGTAACATGGCATGAGTCCCCTGCCAGCAGACAGCCCTCTGCCACTGCACGGCTATAGACGATACCAGGGTCTCACCAGCCCTATGACGATAGATGACGATAGATGATGATAGACAATAAACGGCAACTGCCGGCTTAGATAAGCGGTCTGGACCGCATATGACGACACATGATGACATAGGTCTAGAAGACCTATTTATATTATCAAGATAGAAGGCAAGCCTCATGTTGCCTCATGCACTGATAGAAGGATGCCTCATGGATCCTATCTATGATAGAAGCCCACCTTATGGACGCTATCTCTGACTCATGTAGATAAGCAGATTAGAACCCAGCTTTAGGCTGAGCTTAGATATGAAGAGTAGCCTTATATAAGGTCGAAGATTAAAGTAGACGTTCCTTACTTTAATCTTACTTGGTTATCCCTTGAACTCCTTGTCCCACTAAAGCTACCTGCTCAACATTGACTCGTACCTTCAGTGACGCCTCTCACTGTCTGTAACTCTGCTATCATCTCAGTGTAACCCCTCATTAACCACCACGAGCTACGTTCAAGTACGCAACCTTTGCTTGTCTGTAAAGGCCAATGACTCTCAGCACTCGGTACCACTGTCGTGGTTGTCACTGTTTAGATCATCCAAGTCGCACACGACCGTGTGTCGTAACAGTCACCGCTCGGGATCACCCCACATGTCCTCTTGTCGCCCTCCTTTTGCATCTTGACATCAATACGAACATCCCTTCTTATGCTCCATTATTCTCCTTCGAAACAGCAGACGGCTCATGGTCACCAATGACGAAATCTTGGTTCATGGACCACATCAACACCATCTGGTCTGTGGCGGGTCACCCAATCATGCCCGGACATGCCTTCTGCATTGGTGGGGCCACAGAACTCCTCTTAGAAGGTGTCCATCCTGATATCATAGCAACACAGGGCCATTGGAAATCGAGAGCATTCCTTGACTACTGGCATCAGATTGAGTCCGTTCTTCCTTTATTTATCACTACTGCTTCATCCGCTCCCATTGCTCTTACACGTTTACAATCCAACATGCATGAATACCGTCGTCTTCGCTCTGTACCCTCCTAAAAAACTTGTATTAATCCAATCATATGCACACCGCATCTTTTACAATTCCTTCTCATGTCTCGTGAGTGATGTCACAGCTCGGCTAGGGCCAGCTAGGGCTCGGCTCTTACTGATTTCCCAGCAGTTCAGCTGTTCCCATGAACCAAGTCACTCATGTGTGGCTTGGTCTGGCCTGTGAGCCAGCTGAGTCAGCACAAACCAAGTATGTGGGAACAATGGCTTGAGGCGGCTTCCAGCCGCCTCAAGCCAGCTAGAGACATGTGGTGGAACTCAATTTTAAGCTTTCCTGTTCTAACTTTCAAGCTCCCACTGGTGAAAACTTCAAGACTCGGTTGCACTGTCTACTTATCAAGTTGATTGCCATGAATAAGGTCCCAGTTCGAGTCGATGGGAGATTCAGGCTCGGAGATGTGTTAGGTTCAGGCTCATATGGTATGTACTATGTAGTATTCAATTTTATTGCTCTTATAATATACTTAGCTGTTGTATATTTGGCACGGAACATTATCACTGATGATTCTGTTGCCCTCAAACTCGAAACTGTTGTCAACGATTCATCTTCTGTTGAGTGTGAATACCACATTTTGAAACAACTTGAAGGTGGACTTGGCATTCCCCGCACCCTCTGGTTCGGTAGAGAGTCAGTATATCATGCTCTGGTTCTTGAACGCCTTGGGCCATCGCTCCACCAACTCTTCCTCGCAAACAATCAAAAATTTGGCCTTCTCGATGTCGTGAATATAGGAGACCAGTTGGTCAGTCAGTCGTTTGGTCTGAGATCTTTGTAGATAGGTTAACTTACTTTCCTAGCTCTCACGTCTTGAGTATATACACTCACACAATTATGTTCATGGCGACATCAAACCGCAGAATGTCTTGGTGGGTCTCAGAAATTTGAGGCACACCACCTTCATCATCGATTTCGGTATCACGAAGACATACTGGAACACCACAACCAGTGACCATGTACCATTTCGCCATGGTCGACGTCTATCTGGCACCCCTGCATTTGCCTCAATAAACACTCACTTAGGAGTTGAGCCAGGTCGTCGCGATGATCTTGAGTCGCTCACTTATATGTTAATCTATCTCTTATGTGGCTCTCTTCCGTGGTTAACCAGCGATGACGAGAAGTTGCCCACCTCTACCATACTCAAGCGCAAAGCACATGCTACCATTGCGGATATTTGTCATGGAATCCCTGTTGAGTTCGTGACATTTCTTATTTACACACACTCTCTAGCATTTGCAGAGGACCCTGACTACGATCACCTACGTTCATTACTTCGTGGTCTTTGTGCCACATACTGCAGTCACTTTACCCTTGTATAATACATACAGCCGAGGTTGAAATATCCCTGTTCTACACAGGCCATCCCATGTGGGCCCATCAATGTATTGCTGTGTTAAACACAGGCGGGCCAATGTCAAGTGTGTATCTAATATAAACAGTGGGCCCATGGTATTAGTGTAGTAGATAAGTGTAGACATTCCTATTGATTTTGGTAGGTAGTGTATGAAGTATGTACCTGATGCTAACAAGCGGGCCGAGTTGGCGGTGGTACTGATATATACAGATGGGCCGAGATCTAATACAAACAGTGGGCTCATGGTACGTAGTGTAGTAGATAAGTGTAGACATTCCTATTGACTTTGGTAGGTAGTGTATGAAGTATGTACCCGATGCGAACAAGCGGGCCGAGTTGGCGGTGGTACTGATAAATACAAATGAGCCGAGATCCTAAGTATGGAGAATGATCACAGACACAGGTCGGTCAATTGGTCGGTGATTCCAGACCAGCTTCCAGAATGGACCTGCCAGGACCACCTCGGTCAAATATGACAAATATCCTACGCCGCACGAACTGAAAACCCGATAAAGATCAAGCCGACGTATGAATCACACATGACTCAATGTACATTCAAATCCATACCAAAATAATTAAATTCAAAACCAAGTTGTATACAAGTAAATTTCGCCGACCGACACATCATATACAGTACAACTATGTAATCCACTTAATGATTGGGGAGGGAGTGCACGGGACCGGCGTGTGCTGATGCCGAGCATAATTATTCATATGTTGAAGTCCCACCCTGCGCTTCAGGACGACTGGAAGGGCGCGAGGCCGAGGCCGAGGATTGACCGACTCCAACAGACAGAGGCATGGGAGCAACCAAAGGGCCGAACACACCGTTCAAGTACCTCATGCCGAATGCAGTGGCTGATGATTCATTGGCATGGCTGAGCGCTGGTGGTGGAAATGATGGATTGGTGACGACTTGTTCCTGCCGAAGCTTCTCGACCAGGCTGACAAGTCCATTCACCAATGTGACAGTGGCACCGACATCAAGCTGCATCGAGGAAAGTTCGGCACGCATCGAGGAGATGCGGGCATCAAACTCCTGTTCCATGGCATTCACCCTGGCAAGGGCATGCTCATCGGCCAATTGCATGGCATTCACCTGAGTAGTCAGGGCAAGCAGGCGTTCGAGGATGGTAGGTGACGAAGGTGATGAAGAAAGGGAAAGGGGGTCGGCTGCAGGAGTTGGTGGGGGAATGGTAACGGGCACTTCCTCAGTGGGCTCCAGCCAATGTTCGGCGGGGAAGTCGGCCGCAGAAGCCATGTCCGCAGGTCGGTCAGCCATGATTTCATCTTCAGGATCAACCGACATCTCGGTGGCGATGTTGATCTGCCGTTCAGCGTCAGTGTCAGGTTCCATATCGGCATCATCAGAACCGGTAGCAGACTCATCTACACCCAAGGGTAAAAAGACGTTATTGCGAAGAAAAAATTACTTACCCGTATCCTCAACAGCATCCTCGGATTCTATGATAGGTGTGGGTGGACGTACCCGCGAGGTTGCTCTGGTTGTCCGGGATTGAGCCTTGGATTTGGATGCGGGTGCGGCCTTTGACCGAGGATGGTGTGACTTTGTCGCCTGCGTTGTTGATGGGCCCCGAGAATCGACCGACACTGGTTGGTCACATCGCACCTTCTGGAAGTGGCACTTGGCACAGGACTTCATCGCCTGCCCCTTCCTGCCAACCACCACAAGACAAGGCTCACCAGTGCATCTTGTGCACGGTGGAGTGTACTATGAAACAGTGAGCACCCTGTCACTGAAATGATTTGGGGGAACTCACCTCGTCAGTATTGGCCTTCAGTGGCCCATGCCCTCTTGTAGGTTCGGCGATGTCCACAACCTTCTCGTTTCCTTTGCCATGTGGCTGGGCTCGGCCAATCTTAGGATCGGCTTGCGGCTGAAGATGGTTGAGGTGAGAGGACTGGCAGGAAGAGGTGAATCTCACCTGCTTGACCGACTTCGTATTACCCTGAAAAGAAGTCAGCCATGAAATAAGCACCGACAATACCACCGTGCTCACCTTTGCTTTTGGCAGTGCTGCCGGTGATGGTTCAACGATCTTGGGCCGCTAAGTTGGTGTAAGCAGTTAGTTGGAAGTGATGAACGGATGACGTACCTTCACTATGATCGTCCCGGTCGGCCGCCTGACCTCGTCCTCGGTATCGGAGATAACAGCCTTGGACAAACGCTTCGAGACCTTGAGTTTTTTCCGCCCTGACTCGACATCTGTGCTGTCCTCACGGGATCTCCGAGTCCCTCGGTCGGTCCGTTTGCCCTTGTCGGGCATGGTGCCAGGAACAACGAGATTGTGAGTACCATCTGGACGAGGAAGTGAGTCAATCGGTGGAACCGACATTCGTGTGGGAGCTGGGGATGCCACTGGGGAGCGTGCTTGTAATTTTGCCGGTGCCGGTGCCAACACTGGTGCTGATGCTGGTGTTGGTGCCGGTGCCAACACTGGCGCTGGTGCTGGTGCCGGGGCTGGGGCTGGGGCTGGTACCGGTTGTTCTGCAAACATATTAAGTTGCAACTGTGAATACAAAGAGTGCCGACTCACTATATCCAACGGTCTTTGGAAAAAAAGGATGTGACTCCATACGTGGGTCGTCAGCCCACACACGGTGCCATTGAGGGACAAGACCTTGATTCATTGTCGCC